TATTAACTGTGAATGAATAGAACAAAATAAATTGCCTGTGATGGAAAAATTAAATAAATAAATAAATAAATAAATAAATAAATAAATAAATAAATAAATTAATTCGATATTCCTATTGGAAATATTCCAAAGAAAATTACTACTAAAATGCCATATAATATTCCAGATTTTTGTTTGTTTTTTGTACTTGTTTTTAAGACAGAGACTCTCTGCATAGACCCAGATGTCCTGGAACTCTGTAGATCAGGCTGGCCTCGAACTCAAGAGAACCACCTGCCTCTGCCTCCCAAGTGCTGAAATCAAAGGCCTTTGCCACCACTGCCTGGTTAATGCTAGAGGTTTTTTAATACATACAAACCTCTTTTCTTTATAACAAATGAAACCAGAGATAATTTTTTAAAGTTAAAAAGAAATCCACTCTCCCCTAACTGCCCCTCTGAGACCACCTCCCTTAAATGACAAATGTTAAAAGTATGGCATTTATACTCTCCCATCTCAGGTCTCTTTTTATATAGAAATATGCAAAAAAGGATATATGTATATTCTTACTTTATACATTTCACAAAAACAGAATCAGAGTGGAGACTAATGGCATATACCTTTAATGTCAGCACTTAGGAGTCAGACACAGATGTATCTCTGTAAGTTCAAGGCCAGTATGGTCTACATAATGAGTTTCTGTTAAAAAAAAAAAAAGGAATCATGGAAAAACACCCTGAAACTGTACATGTACTTTTGTCATTTGGTCCTTGACATAGGCCCAGAAAGAGAAACTAAAATTCAGTTAAGAAGGTCATATAAGAAATGGCAAAATGGGCCAGGCGGTGGTGGCGCAAGCCTTTAATCCCAGCACTCGGGAGGCAGAGCCAGGCGGATCTCTGTGAGTTCGAGGCCAGCCTGGTCTACAAAGCGAGATCCGGGAAGGGCACCAAAACAACACAGAGAAACCCTGTCTTGAAAAAAAATGGCAAAACAGGATTTAGCCTGTGATTTGCTTTCTGAGGTATAAACCTCAGAAAGTCACTGAGCATTTTTTTTTGCAATGTTTAAGATTTATTTATGTTTATGAGTGTTTCATCTGCATGTACGTTTGCACACCAAAAGAAGGTACCGGATCCCAAGGAACTATAGTTATAAGTTGTGAGTCACCATGTGGTGCTGTGCTCTTAATGGATGGGTCATCTCTCCAGGCCCCTCACTGAGCATTTTAACAGACATTATCAGGTACTTCTGATAACGAGATAGGAGGGATTCCTGCATAATCTCAGAGAGCTTCAGTAGTGAACGGAAGAAATGAAAGGGGCCTGATTATGAAGTGCCATATGAGGTGATGCTTGAAAAGGCACTGGCGGCAGGTGGAGCTTGGAGGTGCTTCATTTGGGGGAAAGAAATGACCACAAATTATCAGAGTGGACTATGGCTGATGGAGCTATGGCCAGACTATACTCTCTTGCTTTAGTTGTGTCAGGAAAACCCTATGTTTCCAATTCTGGAACATTCCATACCTTAGAGCGGGCTTTTCAAACACGGGACAAACTATTGCATTGGGGGGGCTTACAAGTTTTGAAACTTGCTTTATTTATTTATTTATTTATTTATTTATAGATTTTTTTTTATGTTTTAGTCCTATTTCTTTCTGATTTCAAAGGGTGTCAATCCTACCAGCAGTTGGTTCCCATTTTTTCTTTGGGCAAGCGTGAGGGCGCTACCTCATCTCCCCCTGCCAGTCCTGGAAATTGGAACAGTCCAAGAGCAAAACTCGCGAGATTTCCAAACGAGACTTGGTCCTCACGAGTCTTTTTCTCTAGAGCCGGCTACGTGCAGAGAGAGGACTGCTATTTGGCTTGTTCTGCCTCTGTCCCCTTTGGTGGACAGGCTGGTTTTGTGGCAGGTGTGCTGGACTTGTACCTCTGCTGGCCACTCGCGGGAGAGGTGAGTCCTGGTGGGGGAGTGTGTCCTAGGGAAATAAAAAGACTTCCAAGCAGTTACTTTTAGATAAATGTGGCTGGCGAGCCACTGGGCGAGGGAGAGCTAAGGACCTTATATAGGGAGACTTAAGGGGCAAGGTTGTGCTAACAAAGACCTACAACAGATTGTTCTGTTCTTACAGGGTCAGCAAAGCTCCTAAGACACTCAGCAATCATGAATCCCAACGATCCCTCTAGTGGGTTCCGGCACGGCAAAGTGTTAATGTTCATCAATGAGCAAATGTCCAAGCACACAAAAGGCCCCGAGTTCTACTTTGAGAACCTGGCCCTGTCCTGGGAGGAGGTGGAAGAAAAGCTCAGAATCCTCCTGGAGGATGGCGAGATGCCTAGCCAGGCTCGGGAAGCCTGTGCCTGGGGCAGCCTGGCCTTGGGTGTTCGCTTTGCTTGGAGGCAAGGCCACTTGCAGGGGCGCAGAGTGCAATGGCTTCACGACTTTGCCACCCTGCACAGGTCAGCGGCACATGCCTTGGCATCAGACCTGAAGAAGCTCACAGACCAGCGAGAGATTGAACGCAAGGAGGCAGCCTTCCAACTTCAGCTGGCCCACACCAAACTGGCAGAGGTGCAGAGAGAGCGAGACCTGCTGAGACTGAAGCTACTACACGCGGTAAGATTACCTCCTTATCCAGTCTTATCCCCACCCTATGCCACCCCTATGACCATAACCCACTCCCAGAATATGTTTCAACTCTGCCCACTTGTCTCCAGGAGCTGAGGGCCTTTCCAGTTGCAGAGATGCCAGTCGTGACTAGAGCCCCTGCTACTGCTCAAGGAGCAAAGACAGAGACACCAAATGCAGACAAGAAAGAAGAGGTGACAGCTAGTGATAAAGCAGTTCGTGAACCAGAAAAGGAGATGGAAGGGGCTACAGCCATGGCTGCTTCTGGGGAGCTGGCAGGCACAGGAGAGCTGGAAGGAATCACCCGGGATCATTTTGGAGCGGTGGAGTGGAAAAATTATCCCTTGGGCTTGAAGGAGGAGGGAGAAGAGGGGAAAAAGGGAGAGGACAGGGAAGGGGAAGACAAGTCTATGGAAATACCTACATGTTCTGACTCTGAGCCCTTAGATCTCAGCAGGTCCACAGGCTCCCCACAACCTGTCACAATCCAACTCCCTGACTCATTCACATACTCATATGAAAGCCCCTTCCCAGTCACACCCACCCCATCCCCGCCACTAAGCATTGTCACAGAGCCTCAGATGCCTCCCTATTTCATGGCCACTGATATGAATATGTCTGACACTGAGGGCCCGACAGTATACCTCCAAGAACTCCCGAAAGATAGTCAAGATAGCCAGCTACAGAGAAATATGGCACTTCACAGGCCTGGGGATTGGGATTGCCCTTGGTGTAAAACTGTGAATCTTTCAGAGAAGGAAAACTGCTTCCGCTGTGGGAAGCTAAGCTGGCTGCAAAGCCCTCAGTGAGTTCAGAAATGTGATACAGAGTAGAAATTTCCCATAGGGAAATCAATTTCCAGAGGTGGGAAAAGTAGAATGGGAGGGGTTTCATGGGAATGGAGAGGGGAAAACGGGATGAGTACAGATGGTGTGGGAGGGAAAAGTTTTGATTTCTTTTGTGTTCCAGATAATTAGCATTCAACACCTCAGAACTGCTTCACCTTTGTGTTTGTGTGTGTTTATGTATATGTGTGTATACTAGAACATTCTCATATCAAACCATTTTTCTTTTATATCTTGATTTTTGTTTCTATAAAAACAAACAAACAAACAAAAAAACAAAAACAAGGTCTCATCTAGCCCAGACTGGCCTCAAACTTACTATGTAGCCAAGGATGACTGACTCCACTTCTTAAGTGTTGAGATTATAAGTGTGTATTACCATGCCTGGCTCAGAAATGTAGTTTCAAAACAGCGCACCATTAAAGAACATAATGGAATTAGCAGGGGAATTGAAGAAGCGGAGAGCACGCAGTGAGGATTCCTTTATCCCAAGTCTCCAGGAATGAACTGGGTAGGATGCCTATGTTCTGAGGGAATTCTATTACCAGAAACAGGTCAAGCCTCAGCTAGTTGTTCCCAGGGATGAACTGGATAGGAGGCTCACATTCTGAGAGAGAAATAATACAAGAAATAAAGCCATCAAATGAAGCTGGAGATGGGTTAACCTCGGATTTATGCGTGACTCAAATTAACTTGGCAGAGATTTGCCACCCCTATGAGAATTATGAAAGAGTATGGAGGATGCCAGCACCAGATGCAAGCAAGGAATTCTGTGATTGTACAGCCTTTTACCAGAACTCTTCCCTAGTTCTCAGTGGGCAGAACCATGGACAGATCTGAACAGGAAACTCCACTGCTCCAAGGTGAGTGAGCAACTGATAGTACACAGAGGGTTTGACGGTCTATATCAGCCAAAGCACAGTGCTAACTGGTGGGATTCTTCCTTCCAACTCAGCAGTGCACTAATAGAAGGAGAATGTGGATTTAAAAAGCTCTCAGTATATTCAGAAATGTAAAATACAACAGAGCTTCATCCCAGGAGTAGTGGAGGAAGGAAGAAGTGGGAAGAGTAAGGAGTAGGAGGGAGATCAGTCTGCTTCTCCCCCTCTGTGGCTGTAAAATATGTTGAAAGGAACTATATATGTGTTCTAGTCCTCAGGTAGAAGAAGGACTGTACCTGGACCAGACTGAGACACAACTGGAAGAATCCTGACCAACCTGGAGAACAAGAACCCTTTGTGGTATGGTTGTCTGCTGTTGGTGACGGTATAGTTATCTTCAGGATTGGAGGCCAGAACTCCAGTCTGCAATTTTTTGAACATCCTTTGGGCTTGTTCAGCTCCCTCTACTGCAGGGTTTCCTAATCTCATTGCACTTGACATCTGGTTTTGAACAGTTCTTTGCTGTGGGGTAAGAGTTCCTGTGCATTGTAAGGAGTTCAGCAGATTCCTAGCCTCTACCCACAGTATGTCTCTGTGACCCACTCCCTACCCCTTCAGTTTTGACAACCAAAACTGCCTCTACATAGTGCTGCATGTCCACTGGAGGGCAAAAAAACAACCTGAGTTGGCAACCTGTCAGGCAGTGAAATGCTTAGCCTGGGAACAGGTAAAGAATCAAAAGACAAGGATACAGAGGCTGAAGCTGACTGAAAAATGTCCACTGGGTCTGGTGTTTACTTTGGATCGTCAAGAAAATTCAGGGTGGTGTGAAACTAAAGTGCCAGGATTGAGGAGTGAGGGGAACTTCTACACCAATAATTTCCAACCTTCCTAATGCTGCAACCCTTTAATACAGTTCCTCATGTTGTACTGACCCCCAACCATAACATTACTTTCATTGCTACTTCCTAACTGTAATTTTGCTACTCTTATGAGTCGTAATGTAAATATTTGTGTTTTCCAATAGTCTTAGGTTACCCCTGGGAAAGGGTTGTTTGACCTCTACCCCTAAAGGGGCCGAAACCCCCAGTTTGAGAGCCAATTCTGTCCAAGGACTCTAGGCTATGAAAGGAAGAAGTCAAGTGAGATACAAGGTTAAGAGAGGGCTATTCTGTCACTTAGTACATGCTTGGGAAAAGGTATCTGGGTGAGATATCTGATAAGCATGTCAACTCTAATAAGGGCAGTACTTTTGCAGAGATTTCCTGAAGTAAAACAATCCATCCTGCAGGAAAGCTCCTTAAGACTGAGATGTTCTAAAGAAAGACACATTAGTAGAAACGTGGGTCGTTAAGGCAGTAACAGAGAAAGCTTTAAACCCAAGAAGAGAAAAAATGATCTTGTGTACTGGATAGCTGTGTGGGAGGTGTAGCCAATGGTATTAAAAGAAAAACAGTACTATGAAAGGGATCATTTTGTTTTGTGTAAAATAAAAAACTTAAGGTTCTTAGGTATATATACGTGTGTTATATAGAAATATGTTACGAACTTTTCATTTTGTATCCAGAAAACTTACATTTCAATATTAATTGAAATGGTGTGGAAAGACATTCAGCAAACAAGGTTATCAGCAGGGAACAGAAGGCAGTGTGGTATGGGATATAAGAGGACAGGGAAGTTTGAGTAAAAGGATTTTCTTTCTTTATGTACCTATGTTTTGAAAGTAGTAAGATGTTCACAAAAATAAAGAAAATTAATTTACCCACTGGAGTTTGGAAAGGCTGTTTCTTACTCAGGGATGGGAGGGGAAAAAAGGACAGCAGACACTGGTATCTGTGGCAAAGGGGTGGGGGATTCCGGGAGGGAGATGGAGGGAAAGGGAGAGGGGGAGGGAGGGAAGGAAGAAGAGGGGGAGAAAAGGAGGGAGAGGGAAAGTAGGAGAGAGGGGGAAGGAGGGGGCAATGCACCTGCAGATAAGTGAGGACAGAAGTCCAGGGCAGTGAGAGGCCATTATTAGAACACCTTAGGAATAAATGAAGCACAAAGTAGGACATGGATGGAAAGAAAAGGATCATCAAGCTGCATGGACTAGCATAAGACCAAACTGAAAGGAAACTTAGACAATACGAGTCTGGTAGGAAAATGGATTCCTCTTCTGAGACTCAAGAAAGGCACCTAATACAAAATTTACAAGTACTCCAACCTACCACACTCTCATTGTAGTAGAAACACCACATCTAAAGGAGAAAAGGCAGGAGGGATGAATGGAGTTCTTAGAGTGGACCATTTTTACCCATTTGGGGCTTGTAGTGCTCTTCCACTGTGCATAGATAAGCTGAGTCCTAGCTATATTTTGTTTTCAGGTCCAATCTGCTGGAACTGTAATGTCTGGTAACCCAGTCTTATCTTTAATGCCTTAAGAGTTTAAAGCAAACCAACTTACTTCAGGTCTTTGATTTTACAGTATGGACTACACAGTGCTTGACAGAACCGGTGTAGCTGGAACACTAGCAAATTGTGCAACTGGAAGGACCTAAAAGAGATGAAAAAGCAATAATAATTTTAAAAGCTTGTTTGAAGCGTTTTTTTATACATTATGCAAGTTTTAATTTACCTCTTAAAATTTACTTCATCTGTTGGGCGGCAGTGGCACACGCCTTTAATCCCAGCACTTGGGAAGCAGAGCCAGGCGGATCTCTGAGTTCGAGGCCAGCCTGGTCTACAGAGAAAGATCCAGGACAGGCACCAAAACTACATACAGAAACCCTGGCTCAAAAAGACAAACAAAACAAAAAAAAATAACTTCTGTGGGATGTGCTGTATGTTGTGAATATATGTTGCTATGATTGATTGATAAACAAAACGCTGATTGACCAGTAGCCAGGCAGAAAGGATAGTGTAAGCAGGACAAGGAGAGAGGAGAATGCTGGGTGGAAGAAGGCTGAGTCAGGAGACGCTGCCAGCTGCCCCGGGGAGAAGCATGATGTAAGATACCTGTAAGCCATGAGCCATGTGGCAAGGTATAGATTTATAGAAATGGGTTAATTTAAGATAAAAGAACAGATAACAAGAAGCCTGCCACAGCCATACAGTTTATAAGTAATATAAGTCTCTGTGTGTTTACTTGGGGGACGTGAATGGAAGAGATTTGTCCCTACTGCCAGCAGGTCAGGACACAGGAAAACTTCAGCTACAATTTACTTCATCTTGCATATAAGGAAATTAAAGACAAATAAAGAGAAAAAAGGTTAGAATAATTTGGTCAACGTGCCTCCCACAGAGCCATGCTGTAGCAGAAATCTTAAAAGTTCTTATTGATAAAATCAAACCCGGAGCCAGGTATTGGGGTGAACTGGAAGATCAGAGAACAAGGCACAGCTAACCTCACCTGGTCACCTTCTCAGCTGGTCTTGTTTCCTCAGACTGGAAGCTTCTGTGTCCTCATCCCAATGGCTCTCAGCTGAACTGCTGCTCGAAAGCCTGAAGCTTAACCAGCCAAATGCTGCTAGTTTCTGGTCCTCACGCCCTATATACCTTTCTGCTTTCTACCATCACTCCCTAGGATTAAAGGCTTACTTTCTGGGATTAAAGGCATGAGTCACCATGCCTGGCTGTTTCTAATGTGGCCTTGAACTCACAGAGATCCCAGATGGATTTCTGCCTCTGGAATGCTAGGATTAAAGGCATGTGCTATCACTGCCTAACTAGTGGCTTTTCTGTTCTCCGACCCTAGATAAGTTTGTTAAGGTATACAATATTTTGGGGAACACAATACCACCACACCATGCTGATCTGGGAGGCTGGTGTTGCCACCTGGAGCCACTGAGATGTCCAGGCACAGGCTACTGCCTAGGGCCATGTCTGAGTCTGTGGCCCGGTGGCTGTAGAGTAAAAGGGCCTGCCAAAGAAACCCACCCTGGCCCTGAGGGCATAAGAGCAGGAGAGCTGACCCTGCTCCACCTACCCCACCCCCCATTCACCCTACAGCAATGAGGAGAGAGGGCCCTGCACCTTCTCTGGGCATAACAGTAGAGCTAGCCCTGGTGATGTTGAGTATGGGGGACCCAGATCTGAGGAGAGCAGGAAAACTGGTCCCACCCCTTGTTGTAGGCTGCTTTGGATGAGCTAACTGAAGCAGTGCTGGAGAGCGTGCCCGGGTAACACTGGAAGGAAAGCTGGCAGGCTGACTAACTCAGCTACCACCCAGGCCCAGAACCAGGAACAACATCCATTGAAATCTATGAACCATTGGAGCATGTGAAGGGGACAAACCTACAGATCCAAAACAGCAGGTTCTCCATGAAGAGTCCCAGTGAGAGTCCATTACTGGTGGCATAGCAGAAGCCAGAGGCCTAGAGCCAGACCGATCACTCACAGTAATGAACACTTACAAGTAAAGATGAATGGATTAAAAGGTAAATTGTGTGACTCAATGGGCCACACTGCAACTTTCACGATGAGATTCTCCATTTTGTTTTGCTTTTTTTTTTTTTTTTTGGTTTCTGAATTTTCTTTTAAATTTGGTTTTGATTGGGGGGAAATGTTGTAAGGGCAGAGGGCAGAAGTGAAGGAGATAAGCAGGATCAGAATGCATGATGTGAAATTCACAAAGAAGCAATAAAAGTTTAAAAAAATGGATTAAGGTCATGTAGGTTGGTTTAACCAGGTCTGACTCCAAGGTTATACTATGTGCCAGAAACCAAAGTGAGCACGGATTAACTCAATGAGAAGTATTGTAATCACTATTGTACTGGGAGATTAAGTGACTTTTCCAAACAACCTTTACTGGATAACATTTGAAAAACACTTTTGTATGTGATGTATGTATATGTATGTGGTATGTGTGTGCATATGCATGTGCACATGATCCTGTGTAGGAGGCACACATGCACATAAGTATCCATGCATGTGGAGACTAGAGATCAGTATCGACTATCTTCGTCTATTGCTCTAGATCTTATTGCTTAAAGATTTTTATTTTGTGTGTATGGGTGTTTGTCTTCATATGTATGTCTGTGCACATGTGTGCAGCGCCTGAAATGGCCAGAAGGTGGCAACAGATCTTCTGGGTCTGAACTTACAAAGGGTTGTGAGCCTCCATGAGGGTGCTTAGAATTAAACCTGGGTCCTCTGCTGGGGATGTCTTTCTGGATGCTGTGAATGTGTTGCTCTGATTTGATTGATAAATAAAATGCTGACTGGCCAGTAGCCAGGCAGGAAGAACAGTATAGGTGGGATAAACAGGAGAATTCGGGGAAATGGAAGGTTGAGTCAGGAGACACTGCCAGCTGCCACCATGAGAAGCAAGATGTGAAGGCAAAATTGAAAAAAGGTACCAAGCCACATAGCTAAACATAAATAAGAATTATGGGTTAATTTAGGATATAAGAACTAGATAGCAAGAAGCCTGCCACAGCCATACAGCTTATAAGTAATGTAAGTCTCTTGTGTATTTATTTGCATCTGAGCAGCTGAGGGCCCAAGCAGGACTGGAGAAAACTCCAGCTACTAATGGTACCCAAATGTTTATTTTTATTTAAAACAGGTTGATTATAAATCCAATCTCTTTCTAAAGAAAAGGAAGTAGTATAGATATAATAGGATGAAAGGGTAGATTATTGAACCTACTTTTAAAGAGCAACAACTTATTTAAAATGTTTTACATTGCTATGGATTTTAGTTTATTGATACAAGTTTAAACTTAACTTTGTTATACAGTATATTTCTACTCTTGTTTGAGGTATTATGTTTATATAACTCATTTAGATTGCAATGGATAATTAAGAAATACAGATTAATAATTAGTCTTCTGTGTTAGTCAAACTTATAGCCATGTTAGTTAAGTTTTCTAGTTATACCTAGATATAATTCAATTAGGTAGGTAATCTTCAAACACTTCAAAGACCTACAGAATATGATATTTAAAATGTTTTAAAAATTTAGACTTTCTGGACGGTGAGACATGTCTGCTCCTGGCAACACCAATTTACTTCAGAGAGGAGGATGGACATTGAAGACACTCTATATAGAGTTTATCTTCTTCTCAGCAAAAATAGGCATTTGGGCAAGAAATTGTTCTTGCCTGGACTGCTTGATTGACTGGACATGCAGGACCCATAGGAAGGTGACCACTGAACTTTTGCTTGGCAAAATGGTCCTTCAGATTCCTGCTTCACAGAGGAAACTCCCAGACATTCTATAGGACACAGAGAAGTGACTGAGAGACTCTAGGCCTGCGGGCTGAAGACAGATGTCCAAACTTTAGAGAGGAACTTTGGATGATTGTTCAGGCTGCCAGCTGTCTCTGTCTACTCTTGCAAGACTCCCAAAAGTTGCTTGCATCCTTCTCCCATTTCTCAGGTAATATTATATCCTTCTGAGGTCTTTGATGTAGTTAAAGACTAGATAGTTATAATTTCCTTAGTTATGATTAAAAAATAAGTTAGATATAAAACCTTAGACTCACAAATATAGGATAGATAGGATATCTTCTTTAATTTTGCCAAATACAAATAGACTAGCTATTATAACTATAATTCTTGCTTGATAGTTGTTTTGTTATATGTAATTTTACTATGTTAAAGTTAAACCTTCCTTTGTGGAAAAAAAAAAGAAAAGGGGAAATGCTGTGGATGATTGATTGATAAATAAAATGCTAATTGGCTGGTAGCCAGACAGAAAGTATAGGCAGGAAAAAGAGAGGATAATTCTTTCAACAGGAGGGCTGAGGAAGTGGGATGCTGCCAGCTTCCACAG